GCCAGCCAGCCAGCCAGCCAGCCCGGCCAGCCAACCAACAAACCAACAAACCAACAAACCAACAAACCAACAAACCAACCAAGCAAGCAAGCAAGCAAGCAAGCAAGCAAGCAAGCAAGCAAGCAATCGAACAAACACACAAACCAGACACAAAAGCACAACCGCGCAAACATACAAACAAGCAAGCAGGCAGGCAGGCAAGAAAGCAAGCAAGCACGCAAGCAAGCAAGCAAACAAAACAAAACAAACAAATCAAGCCAACACATTAGACTTACTAAACTAACTAAAGTAAGTAATTGACTAAATTAACTAAACGAACGAAGCAAAGTAAACTAAACATACTGACTAAACTAGCTAGCTAGCTGATTAGCCGGCTAGCTAGCTAGCCACACCTGTACTGTACCTCAACCTTACCTTCTTCTGACATCTAGAAAGCCGTACACTAGCCCACTCGGAAACAAATTTTACAGCATGGTCTGCCATGCCAGAAGTAGCAATCTACTGGCCTTGGCCATGTGGAGCCCAACGGACATGCAGCTTAGATGTAAAAGGCTTGGCAGAACAGCTAAGCTCAGCTTGAAACTGGCCAAGGGACTTTGAGGAAATCACCGACGTTGTTCGCGAAGATCTGAAGATCGTCCCGATCCAAGACCGAGCCGGGGTAGAGCGCTCTTCCTTTCGAGCCTTTTTGGCGCAATGCTTCTCCGCGGGATGGTACCATGCATCTGTGGTAGCAACACTGCGGCCTTCGTTCCACAAGCATCAGGCCATGATTCGAGAAGAAGGTTTTTGCTAGCATCCCCAAGGCAAGACCCAAATCATACACTCACCATCCATGAACACTCAACAAAATTCCTTGTATAGTTTAATGCACCCTGCAGTCTAGGCTTTCGATTTCTGCATCAGTCCCGTGTAAGGCCGACAAATTTCTTTCCAACACTTCCCGAACACTTCCAGCAGAAATATACGGCAGTAGCGCACGAACAGTTTGCTGGGCCCGTTATACATCCGAAGTTATCTGCCCTATACTCGAAGCATCTCGAAGCGCATGGAACAACAGCTCAAGAAGAGAGAGGGCTAGTACTTGCAGGTACTTGCGGTAGCTATCAAAGCCTCATACTAGTCTCCGGAGTCTCCAACGACGAGGTCCACAAACCTATGTTACCGTCGGAGTTCCTTGAGGGCGCTCAGTACTCGTTTTCAGGCAGGTAAAAGCAGAAGGCGTAACACTTCGTCTTGGCTACCAGCTTCCACAAAGAGATACTGCACTAACCTGTGATCGGAAGACCACACCGCCAGAAGTCTAGATGCGCGCGCTATTTCCATTGGCCGGGCCATACTTATGTGATGAGGCACCACAGCGCGCAGCAGTCACGCACAGAGCATCCGCAAGCAAAAACCCGAAGGGTCACCATCACCAACAAGCCGATGTCTTGTCAACCCGAAGCGCTCCCCAAGCAACTCCGGCGCTTGCTGAGTCCGAGCGGACGCTGTCTCGAGTTGAGTTGAGGCCAGGGCAATGTGGGAGTTTCAATGTCTCAAGGTGATGGTTCTCTGCTGATGGAATTTGTACAATGACTCGCACGCTCGGCGTGTTGAGCTTGAGCGCCTTGTATTGTTCCTTTCTGGTCTGGCCGTTGTAACATGTGACAATTCTTTCTCTTAATGCCTTTCATGCTTCTGAACCTTGCTGATCAGATGCCGTGGTTTTATCTTTCTAGTCGCGGATTCCTTGTTGGATTGCATCGGCAGTTTAGTTTCCTTGGCATATTTGCAAGTCTCCGGCATTTTTGAGATGCGAACGTTGTGTGCTTTCCAGTCGAGTTCTTGAGTTGTAAGACGCTCATCTGCCTGCGCTGGGTGTAAGGTGTAAGGCTGGAGGTGGTGTTGTGGCACTTGAGGACATGCTTAGCTCGTGCGCAGGGACTTTTATTCCCATTTGGACCTGAATGGCGACATGGTGGTCGACTGGCACGTGCTTGCCTTGGAAGCCAAACCCCCCCAGTGCAGCAGCACGTTGCTGCAACGTATCGTATACTTCAGCAGGCACAGTCCAAGGACCTTTTCCCTCTGAGGAGTGGCTTGACTTCGTCTCGCAGGGCAAGCTACGTGACACACGGCCGATTGATCAGGCTCCCAGCACAGGGATCTCGCCCAGAGGTGTTTGCGCCCCGGGTTCTGGTTGCTGGAATTAGATGAGCTGGCGAGTTGCTTGTCCTTCGCACCCATGTCCACACTCAACACCCCAAGCGACACACTGTCGCTGGTAGTGTTTTGCAGCATCCTGCCCGAGGGACAGTTTTCAGAATGTCTGCCAAACCTCAAAGTTTGGAGTGGATGTGTGTGGGTGTGTGAACGGATGGGACGACTCTGGAGCAATCAATACCTGCCGTGCCCGGTGCAGGTCCTCACCGAGGCTGGCTCCGCTTGTGAGCTGACAATGAAGAGTTGGTGTGAGTCGTGTCTCTCTTTCGAGGTTTGGGCACAGACTGCCGCATCAACAGTCATCAACGGTTGCCCGTCGAGAAGCGAGGGGCATCGACCACGCCTCCTGCACCTACAAGCCCAGAACCAAAACAACTCTTCCTCGTCTCGTTCCTCCTGTAATATGAAGATCGACATTGAGTTGGCTTCTCGACCCTTCGATTATGTCTTGAGGTTTGTCGGAGAGACGCCATGGAAGCGAATCTGCTGTTGCTAGTTATCCTGTTCTTGTGAGTTCGTTTCGTGCTTCTCAGGACTAGAATAAGGAATACGGAGGTGTGTGATGAGCATGTTTTTGATAGTGGTGCTGGTGATGATGATGATGATGGTGATGATGACGATAATGATAGTGTTTTTTGGCTGTGGTCGCTTTTGTAGATGGTGAGAAGGAAGATGGTTAGAAGGATGGCGCTGATGATGGTCATGTTCACGATCAGGATGGACGCAATCGTTTCGCGATAGTTCTGATGGTGAATCAGGATGACAATGATGCTGTTGCTGATGAAGATGACGATGATGCCGCGGACGACATCGGGAGTATGACGATGAGACCGACGATGACGATGCCAATGAAGGATCATGGCCATCGTGATCACGACGACGATGATGGTGGTGATGATGGCGTCGCCGACGACGGTAAAGACGATGACGGCTTGCCCTGACAGTGGAGGTGGGCGCCGCCCTCCGGCTGGGGCTGCGGCGACGTGGCCTGAAGCCAAACCAGGCAAGTCAGGATTGCACTTGGCCTGCCCGTACGCGGAGCCTAGACCAGTGTGGCACAGTCAACAGGATGCATCACCACCTGCCCATCCAGAGAATTGAGTGAGTGACGTAGACCTGGCATGTCAGGTGGAGCAGTACATCCGATCCATTCCCGAGGCAGGATCGCATGGTCTTCTGTGGCCTGATGCTTGTGATGCCAGCTCACAGCCGCCGCAGCCTGTCAATGTAGGTGCCGAGACTGCTTAGATGTTTCCAGTGTGACTGGTCCAGCTTTTGCATCGTCCGTGTGCGTTGTCTGTATTGCAAGGTCACAGAAGTTGTTGGCCAAGACCTTAGATTTTCCAACGAGTTGAGTGTCTTTCAGGCTAGATGCTGCTTCTTCCCTTTGGGCTTTGTCTAGACTATGTGGGCACTAAGCGAGCAGCGGCAGTTGCAAATGATACAAGTATCTGCATCGATAGTCCTAATCGGTCGGGTTGTGCTGCGTTATGCTGCTCCCGTATACGCAGGCATGCATGATAAGATTTGCATCAGATTGGAGTGCAGGTTTCGATACGGCACTGAGGATAGGGAGGCCGACTCTCAACCAGAGGGCTTGTCCAAGTCAGAGGTAAGGGATGATGATGTTGAAGATGAGCTGAGCAAGCCTTCGCCAGGAGTGCTCACGTGTTGTTTTTGCACCTTGAACAAGGCTCAATCATCTTCAGATTGAATCAAGTCAATCTTCTTGCCAATACCGTTTTGTGTGCTGCATCAAATCAGGTGTTTTTGTATTGTGTCCAACAGGACTATTGCAGGCAAGCCGTACTATTCAACGACCTTCACCAAAGCCTGTTCGAGTCCGTAGCCGCCCCTACGTTTGGAGGTGCCGAAGGCTGCACAATGATTGCCATGATAATCTGACGGTATACCATGGTCATCATGCATATGGTTATGACAAGAAAAGTGGTACCAACAGACGGCATAATGGTTCAGTTATTTCGTACAGCTGTGAATCAAATGGCTTTTGCCTGTATGTTAGCGGCATGCAGAACTTCTTCCTTTCTGCCCAGACGTCGCGCTTTTCTTCAAGATCTTCCGAAGGGGCCTGGTCATCAGCCGTCATGTCGTGTCCTTATCGGGGTGGAGGACGGGCATGTTCGGATGTGGCGGTCGAGGGCTCTCGGCTTCGGTGCTGAAAACTTCAATGTTTCAAGCTTGCTGTTTGTGATGCTTGTGGTTTTAGTCTTGACAGACTGTAGCCACGGCAAGTCGCTGCGAGTGGAAACCCTTGTAGTCGAGCCTCATGGAGTGAGACACTGCGTCGAGTTGGTTGGCGGGGGCTGAGGATTGTCCAGATGACAACTTGAAGCGGACCTTCGCGAGCCTGGGGCTAAAGCTGAATTGCTTGATGTTGGGCCAGATGGATTTGAGGGCAGTTGTCAGATCAGTCTTGTCTGAACCTGGAGTGCCGCAACCAACCGCCGCGTCATCAAAGCTGGAGCTGAGGCTTGTCTGATGGTGCATCTCGTCGAACCTGCCTGTCTTAGACAGTTGGCATACTATCTACGAGCCCATTCTGAGCACGTCTGATCGCACCGCATGGTGAGCCCGGCAGGTCAGGCTTGCTGAATGATGATGCAGTGCCATGCGCATTGCATAAAGCATTCTGGATGTTAGAAGATCGTTGTGACACGAGCCTCATCAAAGTGCCAGATGTCCCGCTCCAAGACGTTATTGAATTTCTCACGATCTCGTGTTTGGCGATGAAGACGAAGGAGGCACCGATATCTCCGGCGTGTTGCAGCTGTAGGTCGTGCCAGTTTGTTTTGACAGAGCTGCGCGGCCTGACATGTACCTCTGCCACAGCACGGTGTTCATGCTCACACACACACACAGAGTTCACCATCAATCCCATAAGCGGTCATGCTGTTCCATATTCTGCTCCCTGGCTTGGCCGTGATGACCGCAGATCGGCATGGGGACTACTTTTCCGGGCCTAATTGGTGGCATGCGGCATCTTCTGTGCTGTCCTTAATGATGAGTCGGCACGAGACACGTAGGACGTGTGGCAAGTACTGGCAAGCTCATGTTCCCATTGTCTAGACAGACCAGACTCCCCCAAGCCCAACCTCAAGGATCGAGATGTACAGTGCCTGTCGAATTTCTGCAGCAAAGTCAGGATGTTTGGAAGTACTGAGAAGGTCGAGGTCCTCAACCCGAAGCTAGCCATCCCTAAGGAAGTCTTCAAAGCCTGAATCGGCACTCTCAGCTTCTCTTGCGTCCTGCGAGCCTCACAAGTCTCTTAAGCTCGCCTCTCATCCCCGTGCCATTTCTGAGCCCGTCTCAAGAAATTCCCTGAGACTCATCCCGAAAACAACGCATGGCGCAATATTCCGCAATTGACTCAAGATCTATCAGCTTGTTTGCTAGCACCAAACCGAATCAGCTACTTCCCCGGGCCTGCCGATCCCAGTTTCATCAGCTCGGAAGCAGCTGCAAAGAGCCTCCAGAAGCCTCGACTGAGGCCCCGGCGTGAGCCGCACAGCCGACCCGGGACCTTTCCCTTCGGGGGCACGGTGCCAGGGGCCTCGGGAAGCTTCGTGCTCAAGGGCTCAGGGACTCGGCTTCGAGTTACTTGAGTTGTTGTGGTGAGTGCTTTTGGTTGGGTTTCGCAGGATGAAGGTGATCGATGTTCGGCTCGAGCCTCCACCTGATGGGGTCGAGAGATGCGAGATGAAGAGAGCAGGAGCCTGGGGCCAGAGTTCGCCACCCCAGGAGTGGCCCCACGGCAGTCCCTTTCGCGTTGAACGGGCGAAGGTTGCCACCAACTGGCAGGCCTTGGGCGCTTGACTGTGGGGGGCCTTTGGAAGTGGGGGCTCGGAGTAGATACTGGTCTTTGGGTTAGATTTAGAGGAGGTGGAGTTCGGCATTGAAAGCATTGGGGTCAAGTCGCCGTTAAACCTTCCTTGCAGATAGGATATCTCGTTTTGGATCAAATGGTTTACAGGTTGTGACAGGTTGTGGCTTTCACATAACTCGTGCTGGTGTGACGCCATGATAGAGTGCCTGGAAATCCACCGTCCTACACTTTCCAAGCTTTGCACATCCTCAATTTAAAGAAGCTTCTAGAGAGGACAAGCACGTGCACCAGAAGACTTGGTCATTAGGTCCCGAAGCCCTCAGCGGCCACCTCACCTTGACCAGGCTTTCATTGAAGCTGTTCCCAACAGAGCGTCAAGAGCGGACCACCCTCCGCCCCGTCGTTTCCTGTGCCTTTGCTTGCGATAGTAGCCAGGGACTTTGGAGTTACTGGGGTCGTGGTTGAAGTCCGTGCACCAGCACAGTCTTCTCAACTTCAAGTCTTGGTGCCTAACTCGCGTTGGTCGGGCAAAGCCCTACGATCTGAACTTGGCCTGTGCACCCTGTGCAAATTCAGGTCCAGACTTGGCAAACCACGATGCCCGAACCTTGGCTTGGGCGTTCCAGGGCATCGCCCTTGACCAGCTGGTTTATGGAGCCGGCCAGCGTTCGGAAGTCTTCTACCGCGCAGTGAACTTCATGCGGTTCCTTCTCAGCAGCCTTCCAAAAGCCTTCGCATTTCTCATGCTTCCAGCGGGAAGGCCCAGCAGCTGCACTTCTCCGAAGCGACACTTGCAGCTCTCGAAGCGGCGCAGGCGAAGAGTGAGGTGCGGTATGGGAAACTTGAGAGTCGTCTTCCTCCCGCTCTGTTGACAGCAAGTTGAGATGGGCACTTCCGTCAGTTCGCACCTGCGTAAGTCAGGAGCTGTTAGGAGTGACTTGTCGATAAAAGGATCGAATCTTTTCCTCGAGCAACCGAGTGCGAAGTTGGACTGTAGAGCTGCAGGATGTAGGCTTTCGAGGTTCAGGGTTTGCTGGGTTTGGTTTGGGAGTTCACGTTTGAGGCTGACCGCCGCTCCTTGACAGGAAACCCAACCCGTTTTCGCGCCGCCACCGTCACCGAAGTCTCCATCGCTGGCTTCGCCACGGGCGCCCTCGCGAGGCCTCCTCCAGCCTCTGTCTTGGGCCCGTTCCATTGTCCCTTTCCGAAAGCTCCGGGTGGGAAATCATAAGCCCGAACTAGAAGTGCTACATCCTTGAATTGTATCTGTCGCTTTTCAGAGTAGGTCCTCAGCGCTCTCTATCTAAACCTGAGGTGCGTTCACTCAGATCCATCAACGTCACAAAGATGTTGCTGCCGACTCTATACCTCCTTCAGCACGAGGGGAAACACTAGTACCAGCTGTGTGGGGTGCCCCCCCAGAACCACCAATCTCGTCACAGCAATGAGAACACTGTTAGACAAGGAGGCAAGCGCGAGCGTGGCGAGCGCGCGGAGCGTGCCCCGGTGGACGCCTCGCAGCTCGCAGCAGAGGCTGCCCGGAGCCTAGACGACAGCAGCTGGCAGCCGGGTAGGATCTCTTGGAGCTACGCGATGAGGCGCAGACCTTGGCATCCGATGAGGCAAAGCCGAAGGCGATGACGTGCCCGAGGATGCAGACAGCTGAAGGGCGAACGATTCCTTTTCGTTTGTGGTGACGGGTACCGTGCTGTTGCTGCTGCTTCCTCTACTCGTGCTTCTATTCTTCCCCTCCCCGTCCCTATAGGCGCCAGTAGTTGCATGAATAGAGCAATAGTGAAACCCAGCAAGTCTTGCAATCATACTAGCGCACTTAGTGGTAGACTTCACAGCAGCAGTAGTAGTAGTAGTAGTAGTAGTTGTAGTAGTAGTAGTAGTAGTCGTAGTCGTAGCAGTAGCAGTAGCAGCAGTAGTAGTAGTAGTAGTAGTAGCAGTAGTAGTAGTAGTAGTAGTAGTAGTAGTAGTAGTAGTAGTAGTAGTGGCTGTGGCAGTGGTAGTGCCAGTGATGGTGGCACCGCAATCGTCGTGGTGCTGTTTGGGGAGACAGCAACCGCAGTCATCCCACTCATCACCATCATCATCGTTTTTGTCGATGTCCTCCACATGTTAATCTGTTAATCATTGTCGTTCGAGTTTCTGAGATGTCTCTGCCGCGAACGAAGATACGTCTTGTTTTGCTATCATCATACATCATGTCTGAAAGCTTGAGGCGCACATTCGACATGGCAATGGTCTCCTTCTCAGCAACGTATGCAGGAATCAGACACGTAGCAAAACAGTTTCTGTACTCCGAGAGCCAAGTAATTAACGCACGTGTGAAGTCTTGAGATTGCATCAAGCTCTGAGGGTGCGGCGAAGTCCTTACAGGATAAGGCTACGTCGGACCCCTTCGCGGTTTTCCTGAAGGCCGGCATTGGCCCGATGCACTACTTGCAGAAAGAGACGTCAGTGTGGTGGTAAAGTCCAAAGTGTTTGTGATCCGTGTAATAAAGCTTGCAGGGCCAGGGATCGTAGGGATAGTTGGTGTCTAATGTCATGCGCAGCATCAACCAGCCTCTGTAGGTTACTGCCGCGGCGGAGACTGCAAAAACGCCGACACCTCATGGGAAGGAGGTCTGCCGAGTTCCGCCAGCAAAAGTCCAAGCAAAAAGTATACATGCATCAGATTGGTAAATGATGTCGAGAATGTGGTACGGCAGTAATGAGTACCGCCCTAGTACTGACCCATGCTGGTGATCGGGTTGGCAAGAAAGGCAATCGTAATATCACCCTTTCGTCATGATGCTGTTTGTAAACTTGACAGAAGTCACAGCAGTAGGCCTGTTGAAAGGGAGGGCACTGGGAGGGTAATTGGCAGTTGCATTGACATTGTTGTGAAGTCAAGCTCTTCCAGATGTCTGCATCAACAAGCGCTGCAGTCCCGAAATGAAGCTGTGAAGGACAGCGCGAGCAGGTTTGATGCATCCCTCCAGGCTGCATCACACACTGCTGGAAGGTGGAGATCCTTTCGGCCTGAATTGCAGCTCTCCGTCTTTTAGAAGACTCAAAGAGTGGGTGCCTCCTGAGGCCGCCAGCCAAGGCTCCAAGGCCGAAGAGGCAGGGCTAAGCAATGAGGAAACAGGGGGAAAGGGCCCGGTGACAGGGTTTTTTCCCGATCTTTTTGAATCTTCTTGCGACTTGGGAGTGTGCAGAAAGCTCCTGAGCATGAAGCCCTCCGTCAGGTGCCCGGTTGAGTCTTCCAGCGACACCTACCGCGTGATCGTGGGCAAGGAGCACGGGAGAGTAGAGCAGCACTCAACCGTTGTTTCTTCTTTCAGCAGGAGTCCCTGAACAGAGTCGAGCGTCGACTTTTCGAGGCTCCCCAGCACCAGCACCGAGTGAAAGCAGAGGGAGCACGAACACCCATGCGTCTCTGTGAAGCTCCGTCAACATGCGACCTGAACGAAGCTGTTGCAGATCGGTGCAGCAAGGCGGGTGTCGATGTCCGTGGGGGATATCACCGCCACCTGAACAGACCAGTGCTGTGAGCTGGCAGGGTTAGGGCTCCCGACACGGTATGCGAGCTACCAATCTTCTAACCCGAGTCTGTTCCGAAGGAGCCCCGTGTGAAGTAGGCTGCATGGTAGCGGTGGCAGAGCTGAGGAAATACTTAGTGCTGGGTTGAACAGTTAGCTGAGCATGCTCTGCCACTGCCACGGCGCTTGAAGTGGCAGCCGAATCGAAACGGCTTTGGAGGCATTTTGCGCAGACGCCGCAGAGCTTACAACCCTTCCCTTGATTGCTGATGCTTTTGGGAAGCCTCATGAAGGCTTCAGGCTCGACGTCAGCGTTGCTTCTCTCCTGGCCTTTTCATTTTTCAACGCTCCTGAGTGCTGGAGAAGTCTGGGATCTAGACAAGCCATTGAATCTTTGGGGTCGGGAATTCAGGATAACACTGCTGAGACCTTCAGAAAGTTTGGCAAGTTGACTGCCGGAGTCTCCTCAAATCAGAATCGGTTCGCTAGCAGCTATCTAGGGTTAGGCTTTGGGGGTTTAGGGTTCGATCAGCAGTCTACGTTCCGACAAAGGTTGATCAGATGCGCACTCATCAGCTGTGGGAGTTCCCTTGGGCTGTTTGCCCAATGCGACGGAGGGCTGCGAGATGTATCCGAACGGCATCCGGGCATGGCCGACACAGCAGAGCGTGAGAAACCCCCATAAGAAAGTACACGAATGAGATCTTGCCTTGTCTTGGAAGAAGGCAGCCCGCCGGCCAGAATAGCTAGTCGCCGAAGGCGAAGGACTCCAAGCTTCTGCCATGGCAGAGCCAAAAGCTTGACCATCTCGGTGCCAGGGGCCGACCTCAAGCATCCCGGGACCTTTGAGACCTTGGGCAATTCCCCCATAGGATTCCATTTATAGAGCCCTTATAGAACCCTCTTATAGATCCCTTAGAGGAGCCTGCCTTATAACTGCCCATGAACCTCCAGGGGCCCCAAGCCAGGCTTCCCTTTGCCTTGGCTCGATCCGGTCGGGTCACGGCGCAGTCGAGGCCGGGCTTCTGCTGTTGTTTGTTGCCAGGGAGGGCTTGCACGGGTCAAAGTTTGTCGTTTAGGGTTTAGGGTTTAAGGTTTAGGGTTTAGGGTTTAGGGTTTAGGGTTTAGGTGTAAGACAGACAGAAGCAAGTGGTGCCCTTACATGACCCAGGCTGCCCAAGGCATCGCCGCGCTTCTGAGGCAGGCTTAACAGATAGGGGCTCAGACCAGTAGACTCGTCGTTGTGCAACATGGCCTTTCCACAGAATAGGCTCTTGCAAAGAGCACCAGACAGAGGTATGTTCATGGCGCCTCTGCAGCGGGTCGGTAGATCCATGGTGCAATTCTCTGCATTCCGAAGCCCCAAGAGCGTGGCTCTTGGCGGAAGCTCCTGTGCGTTGCAGGCTGCTGGCCTTTACAGCGTATGGTGCTTTGGCTCCTGCGATCCACTTGAGGCTCCTTGCATTGCAGGGGTGCATATTTAAGGACCTTCCGGGAGCAAATCACCAAAACAGCTCCGTACTCGTAGCTACCAGACAGCCAGAGATAATTGGACCGAGGCGACAGAGGGTCGATGAGCGTCCCGAGTCGAGAGCCATTAAACTGCAGACAGGCGTCTCTTGCGTGTTTTGATTTTCCTGGGTGGTCAGGCAGCTGAACCCATACGTCGCGTCTTCTGGCTGTCGCCTCAGTCTTATGCAGCGAAATACTTTTCTTTGAGGGAGCTATCTAAGATGATATAGCATTCATTGGATAGGAGTGTAACGTAACGGAACAGGGCGAGCTGAAGGAAGGAAGCAAACGCAGAAGGGGGACTAGAGGAACGGGCAAGGACACACGAGCAAGAAAACAGGCAACTAAGCCGGAATGGCAGGATGGACACGTGGGCAAGGAAGAGGACACCACGCAAGGAAGGAAATAGGACATGAGCAAATGAAAGGCATGATGTCCTTCATAGATCTTTTCCCTAAACCCTGCAGAAGCTTCAACTAGGCATTCGCATAGGACGGTGTCGTGGGCCCTGGGCGGTGAGCCAACACGGTGGCAATGTGAACCCGAGATTGCGATGGCATCCAGCTCCCCGTCGAGCCGGTATCGTGGGTAACTCAGGGGACGAAGAAGTTAGCAGAGAGTCACGACCCCGAGACGCCAAACCCGGGGTTTTAGCATGGCATGGGACTGCCAAAGCATCCTCTCACTCTGTCTCTGCCTCCCTGCCTCCCTGCCTGTCTGCCTGTCTGCCTGTCTGTCCGTCCGTCTCTGCCTGCCTGTCTGCCTGTCTGTCTGTCTGTCTGTCTGTCTCTGTCTCTCTCACTCTGTCCTTGATCCTTCTTTTCCGTCTCTGTCACTCCTGTCTCTCTCTTGTCTCACTCACTCCACTCCACTCCCCTCCTCTCCACTCCACTGCACTGCACTGCGCTGCACTCACCCAGGCTTCGCTTTCCCGCAGCCTTTGCCGGCGCAACGTCTTCTGGATTTGGCCCCGCACCTGAGTCAGAGGGAAGGCGATGTGGACTTGAGAATAGGGTTTCGGGCTCAAGCGAACTGGAAAGAAGTGAAAGAAGCCATCCACCGGTACCTGCGATGCCTCAAGCTGCTTTGTGTTACCTGCAGAGCTCCACAGTCGAAAGTTTGACCCTGAACAGGTGGAGCGGTTTGCCGCAGCTGTTTCAGGGTTTTGGCTGGAGAGTAGGGCGTGGGCAACGGCCAGAGGATTTTCCTGAAGCCCGGCGCCCGGAGATTGCTCGAGGCCTGGGTGCTTCGGGTTCAGCTTTGAGTCGATTTCATCAACTCTCCGAGCTTTGAGGTGCAAGCAGCGGTGTAGCAGGTGCTAGACTCTGCAGCATGATTTCAGACGCTCCAGTGGATTCGGAGTTTTACATTCTCAGGCCACGTAGCATTGATTAACGGGCCCATGGAGCCCGTGACTCGGGAATTTACTCTGCTTTCTCTTGTCCAAGTCTTCATCCTCGGTCACTCGGTGGATTTTGCCGCTTCTGGACTTCAAGTCAAAACCGAAGTCTTGAATAGACTTCATCTTGCGGCGAGGGACACAAGCCTTTAGACCAGCCCTATGCAGCCCATGCCACAAGGTGGCAGCGATTTTGTCTGCGCTCCCCGCTGGCGTGCGGCCGGCTACGGGAAATGGGCCGCCAGGGGCTCGTTCCTTGCTTCCGGCAGCAGGGCGGCGAGCTTCATGTACACTGATGCATTTAGGACCTTTCTAATTAAAGCGTTGGCTGAGGGAGAAGTGAATCGGCAGACAGAAAGAAGAAGGACAAAGAAAAAGACAAGGAGCTGCGTACACACGGCTGTACTACCGTTTGTCTTGCAGCGTCTGCCAAAGATCCACAGGCACTGCTCTGCGGTAGCACCGGAAGATCTAATCTCCGTTTCAGGGCTTGGTTGTCGCTTCCTATGATGCAGGACAAGAAAAAAGACAAGGAGCACCTGGTGCCTTGCATCTTCTCGCTAGCATCGCAACCTCCTCATAGCGCTCAGGACAAGGACAAGAAGAAGGACCGTAGCCGGAGTCGTGGGAAGGAGCCCCGCAAGCAATTGGTTGAGGAATGTGCAGTTTAGTTCTTGGCTTACTCGAGACCCATAAGGAGGGAGAAGTGTGCCAAGCAGCGTGTTGTCGCGGCTTGTGTTCCCGATTCCGGCGGATGCTGAGGAAAAAGATCGAGAACGAAAGGACAAAGAGAAGGACAGCGGATCTTGTACGGAATCCAAAAGAGTGTGCACACAGAATCTTACCTTACCTCGGTCCTTGAGAACGTGACTGGAACTTCCTGAGCTCTGGCCCTCAGGGCAAAGAGAAGGATAAGGAGAGAAAGGACAAAGACAAGGACCGGGACTTGGGCTTGGCTTCTAGGTCTTGAGTTGAGCCTGTGACAGCTTTCGAGGAGCCCCTTGTCGCGGCATGCCCTGTTCCTACACAGGACAAAGAGAAGGACAAAGAAAAGGATAAGAAAGACAAAGACAGGGAGAAGGTGCGTTCTCCTGCATGTTCGCTGCTGGCTCTCTCTCTCTCTCTCTCTGTCTCTCTCTCTCTCTTTTTCTCTCTCTCTCTCCCTCCCTGCTCGCTTCTCTCTGGATCAGCATCGAACGGCAGCTTTCTTGCTCCACATCTCCAGGACAAGGAGAAGGAAAAGAAGAACGACAAAGAGAAAGACAAAGAGAAGGAGACCGAGAAAGAAAAGGCTCCGGACGAAGATCAGCTGCAATTTAGGCTCAGGATTCGGACTGGCAGCATCGACAATTGCTCTCGAGTGTAGACTTCACCATCCTTTCGCATGCTACAGAGTTCCACTCAGTCTGTTTCCAGTCCATGTTCCCAGAAGCTGTTCTTTGCCCCTGAGCCTTCAACGGTCCCCAGTTTCCAAAGCAGAAGCTCCAGAACCCCAAGCAGCCCTTCAAACCGCACATTGACAAATAGATACGGTACATTTGGAGCGAAAACTGTGGCCATAAATGTACATAAAACTACATAAGCAATTACATAAATATGTACATATATATATACACATACACACATACGTACGTACATACAGACGTGCATACACCAACAGATGTGTCTGTCCATCTGTGCGGGTCTGCCCGTGTCCGGATATTTGTCTGTGTGTCACATCTGTCTTTCTATCCATACGTCTCTCTCTCTCTCTATCTCTCTATTTCTCTCCCTGTCTCTCTCTCTCTCTCTGTCGCCCTCTCCCCTTGAGGTAGGTAAGTGTGTCTGTTCCGCCGTGGTTCTTCAAGTTCCGAGGCGCCGCCTACCGATGCCGCGGCTGCGACGGATGCACCGCCCAAGGCAGACACGCAATGGGAATCTGTGAAGGGTAGATCTGGTACTGTTCCGGAACCCTTATCAGGCGAAGGAAAAGAGGTGATAAAAAAAAGATCTGGTACTGTATTGTGGGCAAGTTGGGGAACCACAGTTTTTGTTTTAAGGCGTGGTGTTGAGGTAGTACCTGGTGCAGTTTCTTTCATCTCCATTTGCTATTGCTACTTCCTACATTGGTATCGACGTTTTTAAGTCTCTTCGTATTGTTCCAGTCGCGCTGCTGTGCCTGTTGCCATTTGTCGTTGTGATGGTTTGGCTTTTTGAAGACCGGCTGAAATATCATGTCAACGCCTGCAGTAACATATCGATTCTGGTTCTTGTCATGCTCGTCGTTCAAAATATCCACCTTCTTCTGACCACTGCTCTGCTTGACATTGCCGGCCCAGCTGTATAACTGTAATAAAGCATCATCCCCACAGCCATCTCGAAATCAGAAATCACACTGGCTGACACTCTTCGGAGCGTATGGTAACGGTCGCGGAAGGTTTTTCCTCTTGCGATCTGATCTTCTAGAGCATGGCGCCGAAGCATCCCAAAACAGATCTTCAAGTATTTCCCAAGGAGCCAAGGGCCTCTGAAATGCGTCCGCGCCAGGAAACTGAGACAGCACAGTACAAGGTACTCCAATTTGGAACCGGTCGCCCCAAGACCCCAAACCCTGAGCCCCAAACCCACAACCCTAAACCCTAAACCCTAAACCCCTAAACCCTAAAACCCCAAACCCTAAGCCCCAAACCCAAAAGCGCAAACCCTACACCCCAAACTCGGCTGCGGAACTTTCACATTTCCCAGGACGCGGCAGCAGAGCCGGCGGAAGACGGCGACGATGTGACAGCGGTGGGCCCAGGAGGCCGGCGTGGCGTCACGTGCCTTTTTCTTTCCTGATATTTGTATGGTTGTTATTCTTTTTGTCATGAGCGTTCTTGTTATTACTGTTACTATCATTGTTGTTAGCTTTGTTCTGATTATTGTTATCATCATTAGTATTGTCACAAACAGGTATTAATATGGTTGTCATTATTGTTATTGTTACTGTTGTTATTATTGTTATAAATGTTTCGCAGTGAAGGCAATGCTCTGTGGATAAGCCCAAGCATGCAGTGAGTCTTCAGCATGAGAATGGCTCCCAGTCTGCCAAGCCTTCTGACCAACGAAACGGAAGATGCCAGTGCTGGCTTGTCCCGTTTGCAGGAATAGAAACAGAGCGGCAGTCATCATTAGCTGTTGGTCCCCATAGCCTGACACTTGCTCGGAAATCCGACGACAAGACATGTTGAGATCAAAATCGAGGCAAACCTTTTTCGAAAGAGACACAGGTTAGCCAAATAGGCCGGGGGAAAGTTCCACGATGACTTCACGAAAGTTGGTCCTGAAGTCCTCTCGTAAGACGTAAATCTCCACTTTCCCGAAGCCAACAGCCCAAAAAGCAGGTGATTCCACATATGTGCTTCAGATGCATGGGTCCATCAAGACAAGTGTGTAGTTGGCACTACGCCAAGACATGCAATGTACATGTTTGCAAAGACCAGTCGGAGCTTTCTTTGTTATTGGGTCCGTGTTGGGCTCCGAAGCTCCGAATTTTCCGGCGGAGGTGTGCAAGAAACTGTGTAAGGTCCATGCAAGTTCTGTGTAAGGTCCCACATACTTCTGGGGATTTGCGTGCGGAGCCGCCACTTTGTATTTCCACAAGCCGCGCAGCTGCCGCTGAAGCAAGCCTAAGATTCCCTAAGAACACCGTGTCGAGTTTTTCAGAAGCAGCTTGTCAATCCTTGTGCAGAGCTTCTGAACAATCTAAAAATTTGCTTGTAAGCTACTGTAAGCAGCCTTTGACACGCCTGTTAAAGGTTCCAAGAAGCTGCAGTAGACCCTTCAGAAGTCGCGAAGATCGTCGAAACCCCAAAATGCCCTTGAGATGGGAATGTAGACTAGCAACCCTGTGTGCGTTGTCTATCATATCACCAAGGCCATGAAGATCGTGATGATGATGACACTGATGATGCTAGAATTGAGTTATCCACGAAACGCTTCCGGTATCCAGTATACAGTGACAGCTTGCATGCTGCTCTTGCTGCCCAGGGCGCAAACTCACAGCCGGGGAGCGCATCCGATTAGCACGTGCCAAAGCTGCCAATACTCCGGGAAAGAAAAGCATTGCCATAGGGAGCCTTGGCTAAAAGTCACAATCTCTTTTTGGTTGGCTGGAGTCAGAGAAGAGCAAGCGAGCCCCATCTGCAATTGTAGTGGCGCCGGGGCAAGGTCAGGCTCTGAGCACTGCCCAAGCCAGGGTCAGCGTGGTTTGTCCAATTCTGAGAAACCTCTAGAATCCCAAGTTGCTGTGCCGAGGAGCAGCAGCTCCAAGAGCAGCAGCAACCGGGTCTGCATTTTGGACACTTTTCGCTTCTACCGTAGCCTCGGATTCAGCATGGAGGTGACGGGTGGGCTGTGCATCCCTGCAGGGTCTCCTTCTTGTATTTTGCTCTGGCAGTTCACAGCATCTGCTCCCGGCTTCTTGTGAGGTAGCTACAGTAGCAGCAGCACGCCGTCCGAAAAGAAAAAGAAGAAGACGAAGAAGGACAAGACGAAGAAACGGTGCAGACCTCAGTGTTCCTGGCCGTCCCTATTTGGATGACGGAGGGATTTGTTTCTGACAGGCTTTAGCCCAGGAGAGATCCACCTCCGAAGCCCGAGAGCTCCAAGTCTCGTGGTTGCAGGTCTCGCAGCCCCATTTCCAGCTACGGCGGCCTTGCTCAAGTACCCCTGTGGCTACCACGACCGGCCAACTATGGTCAGGCCGGCCTCCAGTAACGCAGGGTTTTCGAGGCTTTGCCGGATTATGTACGGGCGAGCCTTTGGGAGCCGGCGGTTGAAGAGGTGTCTGTGGCGCTGGTAATGGCGGTATCGTATAAGGTCAATACCGTAGTGCGAGGCACGATAGTAGTTGTGGGTCTCAGGATTTGCATTCTGCACCGGGATTCGTGGGCTGTGGGAATAGGAAAAGACTTAGTCACAACGGGTGGCTGGGGGCTTGAGCCCTGAAAATTGGCTTGGCTTCGGCGTGGCTTGGTTACGGCTCTACACACACAGAGCCCGGCTGAAGGAATGAAGCAGTTCTCGACCGATAGTCGGATAGATACTGCAGAAAGCCTGGAACAAACTGGCAGCCGTAAAACTGCGCAGACTGCACATGTCAGAATGCCTAAACCGCCGCCTGAACGCAGAGACCCCATCCTGCAGGACTTTGTTACGGGCGGTGGCAGCGCCCCTATGGGTGCCTCCCTCGGCACGGTCCCATAAGTGTTGAAAACGACTGGTTCAGTTGGGGCAAGGTCTATTGTAGTCGGGCCTACTGCGTTGCAAGAGGCAGACGGTCGATCAACTTCTCGCTACTCGCATGGGGTGCGACTGACAATGTGAGACGATTTAGCTTGAAGTTAGCCGTTCCGAAAGAAATTCAGCGGCCCATTGTGGAAATCACGGTCCTTCGCCGACACGTCACCGTCTGAGTCTTCGAATCGACGAAGCGCGCTCAGGTGGCTTGACCAGCTTTCTGGAAGCTCAAAGACCCTTGGTTTCGCAACATTAGCACGTGCCTCTTTGCATATGGAAGGACAGATTGCCAGGTGAGCAGGCAACGGCTGGTGCAGACTGTAAGCATGCAGGTTACAGGGAAGGCAACAAATTAAGACTCCCACCGATTGCAGGCAATACGACATTGGCCTTGCCCATGCAAGCAATTCTGTTTGCATGCTCTGGAACAGTGGAAGTGCAATCATACATGACTCAGCTGCCGACAGACTTTTGGAGTGCGATAATAATCTGAGCCAGCCTTTTTAGATCCCAACATCCGACCCTCCAAATGCTGGAACACGTGTAGCCTTAATCCCAAAATCCGAAAAGCTAGCCTCCTCAAAGAAGTTCCGCCAACAAGGCAGAGGCCTGGCGTAGCTGCCCCGGGCGTTGCCGATCTGAGCAGAGCTTTCACGGCTATCAGGTGTCCGACGAAGCGACAGTCGTTCCAGACAGGGGCAGAGTGCGGGGCTTCAAGGTCTCAGTAACTTTTCCTGTGATAGGCCTGGCAAGGAGATACATGGCAAAGCGTCCACACATGGACAGCTGCAGAATAAGCTGCAAAGGCTGCCAAGTGTTTGTTGGGGCGGGCCTTTTGTCGGGCATTTGGAGCATCGCACATCGTAGCAGTCCCAAGCTTGGGCAAAGGAAACGGCAATGCTGAAGGATGAGCCTGCCTTTCGCTGCAGGTTTCTGAGAGATTCTCAGTGTTGCGCTAAGGCCGGGGGCAAACGGAATGCAGCTATATGTAAAGGCGGCACTGCCGGCCGTATGATATGACACAGAGCATGTGTCTTAACCTGAGAGCGGGTTGAGCAGGCCCCATATAAATAGATAAATAGAAAAACATAGAGAAGCAGAGGCAAGCTGTTGCAGAGCCATCAACGGTGACAGAAGGAGAAGAAGCTAGAGCCGGCTGCGCAAGCCTGAACCGCTTGGACCAGGAACATATGCCTGGGCACAATTGAGCATGCAACCCACTCAGCTCACTCAGATGAGTTGGCTTTCACCATAAAAATATTTAAACCTCACTCGGGCCAGCGTTTCGAAAAGAGCCGACTGCTCTCTTGGTTTAGGCGGAGCGTGGCCTGCTCCATCCAGTTCGAAGGTTTTTGTCGGGTTGTTTCTTGTAAAGCTTTCATTCAGGCTACAAAACACAGGATACTCATGGGGAGAACCTGGCATCTCGCTGAAACCGAGTACATGACTCAGGCACGAACGCCCACGCGATCTTATGGAGCTCCAGCGAATGAATGCTGAATCCGGTACCGTAAGTTGCCAGGATTTGCGAGCCATCCTCGGCAACTCAATGTGCATAGCTCGCCGATTGTTTGGATTGCGATTCCCAACATGGGTCTCGTGCCCTGGCTTGAAGGCAAAAGATCCAGGCTCCCAACTCTGCATGCTTCACCCTGTGGTGCTCACCGATGTGGTCTTGGGACGCGTCGATGGTCTGGGCCTGGGGTGTGCGCTTTTAGGGGAGTCGTCTAGTAAGGTGTGCTCCTGTGAGGTCAGGCCTCAGGCTTGCCTTCGAGGTATGGCTGGGCTTGAGGGCTTTCGGCTTAGGCTTCGGGTGCAGGGCCCGAGGGCTTAGAGACTCAAACAACTTCGACAGTGCTGGTACGGCAGGAACTGGCAACCCAAGACCCCAAATCTTGAAGGGCTTCGGTGCTTGTGGGTTTTCTCGGACGAGCAAGATAAATAGAAGCGAAAGCTCAGCTTCGACGGTGCCCGGCCTTGACACGAACGTGAAACCCTAAACCCTAAACCCTAAACCCTAGGGTTTATGATGGCGACGTCGGACCGCAGCCCTGGCTCCAGAAGCTCCGTCCGACAGTGACGTTGGCACCTGGCTGCCAGGGAGCAGGCAATGAATGAAACCCCAGATCTCTGAGAAAGCTTCGTGCAGCTTGGTATCGTTGAAAGTGCAACAATGGCTAAGTGCTTTTGTTGTTTCGTTTCTTCCAGTCGGATGACTCTGAAGCTAAACAGTTCCGCGGGCTGTTCCAGCGAAGTTTCCGAAATCGTCCAGCCAACAAACCTGTGAATCTCAGAATGCTCAGCTCTCAAAACGCATACACCGACATTCCTCGGCACAGTGCAGCCGCTCATGGCCTACCTACGAGAGGATTTCACGAGCCTGAATCTCAGAATTGACAGGCATGCCTAGTCACTGTGACGGGAACTACTTCCAGTCACAGTGCAGGTCCCTGCCAAGCAGATTTGGCGAACCTGAGGTGTCGCAACTATCTGATGTCGTCCGTGTTGTAACCCGAAAGCAATGCAATCAGACGTCTTTTTCTGTCTTCTGTTGGGTTCCAACTAAGGCCGGGAGCAGCGCGATCTCATGAGCGTGAGCAGCGATGTGCTGTTTGCAGATCCTCTTGGAGTCCGAGAAGGCCTTGTTGGACTTGATGAGAACCTGCTGCTGCAGTCCGAACCGTTCGGCTCTTGTGAGGGCAGTCAGTCTCTATCTCGACTCGCATGAAGAGTCCAAGTAGAGCTTGCTGTCGTAAGACAGTGGGTGCGTAGTCTCCATGCTTAAACCAAGTCGCCAGACCTTTGAGATAGTCCCTGGAGGCCCTGGAGACCGCAAGCCTTCTCACATGGACTACGGAGGCGTGGGTGGCACAAGCTTCAGCTGCTTATTGGGTTGGCCGCTTCAGCACGACATGTTTTGCAAGCATGTGCCACTGCGAGGCATCACGCAACCAGGCCCACTGCACGCGCAGCTCGGAAAACGTGATCAGTCAGATGCTTGACCTCAGAAGAGATGGACAGAGATCCCAGGTCTAGAGGGGGCCTGGACTCTGAGTTCGTGTACTCAGACCGCTATGGGTACAATGGCCGCAGCCCAAGCCGAGCGACACGGATAGGACACCACTTGCGACTTTGGCGCAGCCGAAATCCCAGAACATTGCAAACCAAGTCCGTCAAAGACTCGGCGAACTGACTCTGGGCGGTTGAATCAACATCCGTTCTTCCACAGCACCAGGTGGTGGTCTCAAGGGAGGCGGTGCAGGCCGTGGACGAGGGTTTCGGGTTCCAAGCCTCATGGTGCTTTGCGCGTGGCTTGTTTACTTACTGTTGGGTTCAACTCGCTGGAGTGCCAGTCCACTTGAGGATGTCTGGAATTTGTCGAATCGGCAGGCTTCTTTCTGAAATTCAGATACGACCTCAGACCCTGAATTCCGAGCCATAAAACCAAAGAAAGCCAAGATCCCATCGCCAGCTGGGGAGGCTATCGGCGTCAACTCGACGAGGAAGAGTACACGCCAAAGGACACCGGCCTAGCCACAGGGCCACAGGTCAGAAGCATTCATGGCTGTAGGGTCAGCGGGCAAACGTTGCCCAGCGGAATCATCATGATCAGAGTGGGCACGACAAGGAAATGGAATCGTAGGAGCAGCAAGGGCAAGCACTATCATGAAGAGCAGACAGAAGGAACATTCCTGGCAGTCGTCGCATCTCAGTACACAAGAATGACAGCCCCAGCAGTAGCAACTATCAACCGATCAAGGGCTGCTGGGCTAGAAGCAATATTGCGAGCCTGTTGAGAACCATGAGGGCAACAAGAACGGTATCTTCCCTGCCCAAGTTGCACGAGGAGTACAGGGCCTCTCAGTATGCCGTGCCTAGGGACGAAGTGCTCGCGGCTTAGATCTGCTCGGGGTTCGCGAAATTCAGGAGCGTCTTGGAGTTTGGGTGGTCCTGCATGCTCCGATGAGATCGGGCCTAGCCTGGGCAAGCTTGCACGACATGTGTTGCCTGTCACTCGTACGACTGTGATCCCGCGCTTTCAGCGCTATTTGTTAAAACTTCCGGATCAGAGGGTGCCCAGGGAGAGAGTTTGTGCTTGCAGTAAACCCTAAACCCTAAACCTAAAACCCTAAGCCCCAAGCCCTAAACCCTAAACCCTAAACCCTAAACCCTAAACCCTAAACCCCGCCTGCTGTGCTTCAACACTCATCGACCTTGGGCTTACCAAGGCTGGAGCCTCAGGACTATGGCGATCAACTTCAGGAGGCCGCCCCCAGCTGCGATGCCATACTGTACTACATTATACTATATTATACTATCCTATACTTCAGCTCTCTATAGTATACTATTCTATACTATACTATACTATACTATACTGTACTATACTATACTTCAGTTTTCTATAGTATAGTGTTCTATACTTGACTACACTATACTATACTATGCTATGCTATACGATACTATACTATACTTCGCTATACTATTATGTACTATACTATAATCTACTATTCTATACTACACTCCACTGTACTATACTAGACTTCACAATACTATACTATACTACCTGCTTTGCAGCCCTGAGTTTTGCCAGACCCTGGGCCATTTTGGCTCCTACTTGTGGAGCTTCGTCGCTGGGGCCCAAGCCAAAATCGGTGCAGCACGCTAGGCTCCTAGGCGATTCTGCAAATCTCAGAGTCCCGAGCTGGTAAACTAAACCCTAAACCCTAAACCCTAAACCCTAAACCCTAAACCCTAAACCCTAAACCGAGGCTGGGGGTCGCCAATGCTGCTCCATGCGGGATCGAAATCGCAAGGAGGATGTGGAGGCCCTCGCTTGCCAGGGCGAAGTGCTCTTGGAATCAGGCTTGTCAAAAAAAGCAGTCGCGGCTTCGTCTTAGTGGGGGTTTCCAAAAATAGGGGACCCTACTATAGTACCCTAAATAATAGGATTCTTATTATAAGGACCCCAAAATAAGGTACCCTAATTGTCGGAAACTCCCTAGTGTTGCATGCTTTTTCCTGTAGTCCTAGAAGGGTGCTTCGGGTGCCGCCTCTGGGTGTGCGTGTGTGCGTCTGTGTGACTGTGTCGTCTGGGTGCTGTTTCGGCAACGGGCTGTGTGACTTCAAGACCGGCACACGCCTGATCATCGGATGGTCGATGCCAGGTAAAGTGTTCCATGTTTAGGAATTTCATGTTGCGGACGCCGCTACTCTTACCCAAATTTGGCACTGTGGATCTCGATGCCGCCGCAGATGAGTCTCGGAAGGATTGAGGAACTAGACACTAGACAATCAGGGCGTGTTTTCATCGACGCGAAGGACGGCAGCGTCATTGCATCCAGTGCTAGCGACTCCAGTGCCTACCCGCTATGGCAACATGACCGACCTTTATGGGGGATGTGAACGAACATGACATGCTATCGAAGATGGCGGGATGACCGCCTGTGCAGCCTGGCTCACTTTACTTTCCCGAGCAGCCCCTTCGCAGCCAATCCCGTGTTGGGGTCCAAGTCCTTCGCCCTTTGATCTCGGAGAAGTGCGAAGGATGGTCTGGATGGGTCTTTCTCTGAAGACCTTCAGCCGTCAGCCCTCGAAATCCTGATGCTTGAAGTCATTGAACAGGCTGCACGGCGCGCTGCCATAACCGGCCGGCCACCCCCGCGTGGACGTCGAGGGGCCCAGAGAAGCTGTGCTGCTTAGACGCCCGTCAACGAAACAAGCATAGTAATGGGTTTAGGGTTTATGGTTTAGGGTTTAGACCCTAAGCCCTAAACCCTAAACCCTAAACCAGTAAGCATTATGTCAATGGTTTCTTGTTCATGGAGATGCAGCTTTCCACCAATGGTATCAATTGAAGCAAGGCGGTGTAACATGTAAGACAGCCTGAGAGCATGGGTTCATGCAAAATGCCGAAGATCACTAGCCAGTGAATGATCTCGTCTGGAAAGAAGTACATAAGACAGTGTAACAGAGTAGCATAAGAGGATCGAGGGATATGCTGCAGAATAAGACAAAAGAAGCAAACTGTCAGTTGGGTTGCCGCTGAGGTTGGTAAAGCAGTTGGGATACTTGATCTGGCTATCGGCCATTGGCCATGTGAAGCACCGAATGTGGATAAGACCTGGTGATATTTGACAGTGTATCGGATCACCGCCTTGTGATATGTGGCGGCAGATAGCCGATAGCCTTGCCGGCCTCATCATCGCCTCACTGGCTGTTAGTCGTCTTCTGGTATATGTGCAATCTGGCTCAATCAGCGTTTTGACTTTAGTCACCCATATGACAGGAAGAGCCGCAGCCTGAACGAGGGCTTTGCATGAAGGCGAACACCTTATCACAAACAGGCTTTGCCTTCTTAGCTGTTCCCTAGATCGGAAATGGTGCAGATCCCGAAAGCTGTAGTCGGTCTGCTTTGAAGCTAAGGGCCTAACATATTCTAACTGAAAAGTTTCTACTCTCATCATTTGTGTAGCTGCGACTGCTTGCCATGGCACTCCTTCAAGAGGAGCTTCTGAAGCATCCAAAGGCGCGGAACTCAGTTTGGGATCACCCAGCTTTCCAGACTGTCACGTCTATCTTGGCCATGGTGCTGTACTCTCGCCTTGCCTAGCCGTTAGGCTTGCGTACATGGAGCTTTCTTCTCGAAGCCTAAGATTCGGACGAAGCCACCAAGGTGCAAGCGTCGCTGCGAGTAGCTGGTGAAAAGGCCATGTGGGAGTGGACGCATTCCGATGCAGCACCAGCAGAATGCTCGACGGTGTAGCAATCCACTTGTTTTGGTCAGGCACTCAATGACCCGGGAGTGCAGAGCGCCCTGCTGACGGCAGCAAAGGCCGGTGAATCGCAGATTGATGAGGAGGGAGGAGAGCAGAGTCACAGGGGGTAGAAAGCCATATGTTGTCATGCATGATTTTAGATGCTTGCCAGCAGTAAGCAATCGGTTTACAGTACATGTGACACCGTTACAGCTACACCAGGGTTCGCCCAAAACCGACAGTTCTCGCTACGTCGCAACGAGGCAATCAGCTTGCAGGAATGAGTTTGGGTGCTTGAAGTGTCCGGCCGCTCTCCCTGCCGTGCAACCTGAGCAGGAGAGCGGGGACGAGGTTCTGGCGATAGTCCGCAACCAGGCACTCAGCTTAGGGGGTGCGCAGCTACTTCAAAGGGCAGGAGGGATCCTGATAGTCCAGGCTTGCAAATGGCTGCATCACTACTCTGCATGTTCCGATCTTGAAACGCCGATTTGCCTGCAATTATGCTTCAGGTGACATCCTGGGCGCAAGATCCTCAGGCACAAGCCAGGGCGAAGGCCCCGACACGGTCTCAGACATCTTTGCTCCGAGGGGACCCTCTGCTTGCGCAGGTTCAAGGTTCGGAGACTAGTAGGGGTGGGGGTGGGGGTGGGGGTGGGGGGGTGGGGGGGTGGGGGTGTGGGGGTGGGGGTGTGGGGGTGGGGGTGTGGGGGTGGGGGTGGGGGGTGGGGGTGTGTAGTAGCTACTACCACTACTCAGTAGTCAAAGCAAGCGAGAGCAAGCATGGCAACAATTGCTCCGTGTGCTACTCCTGCTACTCCTACAACTCGTACCACTACTACTACTACTACTACTACTACTCCTCCTCCTCCTCCTCCTCCTCCTCCTGCTGCTGCTGCTGCTGCTGCTGCTGCTGCTAGTCCTACTTCTACTCCTACTACTCTACTGCTACTACTGCTGATACTGTTTTTGCCACCAGAACACCAGCAGCAACAACAACTGCAACCGCAACCGCCACCCTAACTGCAACTAATGCCACTGTTACTGCGACTGCCACCGGCACTTGCCACTGTCACTGCCACTTCCACTGCAGCTGCTGCTGCCGCTGTTGCCGCTACTGCTGCTACTGCTACTTCTACCACTACTGCAACCGCTAGTGCAAGTTCTAGTGCCACTGCCTGTACTACTGCTTCTGCTGCTGCTAGCGCTAGCGCTTCCGCTGCCCGCTGCCGCTACCGCTGCGGCTGCTGCTGCTGCTTCTGCTGCTGCCGCTTTTGCTCCCACCGCTGTCGACGAGGACGTCGACAAGCACGACGAGGAGTAGGAGGAGGAGGCAGCGGAAGAGGAGGAGGCGGCAGCGGAAGAGGAGGAGGCGGAGGCGGAGGCGGGGAGGAGGTGGAGGAGGGGGAGGGGGAGGGGGAGGAGGAGGGGGGAGGAGGAGGGGGAGGAGGGGGAGGAGGGGGAGGAGGGGGAGGAGGTGGAGGAGTACTAGCATTGATACTAGTGCTTGTAGCAGTCGTCGTAGCAGGAGCGGCAGCAAGAGTCGGCGTCACAGCACTACAACCAGAGCCATGTCCCTCTTGTGTCATCTTTGGTGTCGATGCACTCTAACCTCCAACCGAATCTGACAGCCATCAGAACACCCCAAGAAGCTACATATAAGAGGCTGGATTACTTAGAAAAGGGCTTTGGAACTCCACAACCTGAACCTTGAACCCTAAAGCCTAAACCTTGCACCCCAAACCCGAAACCTTGAACCCTACATCACTCGCAAAGGCCAGGCCACCGTTGCTTGGCGGAGCCAGCATTCGTCGGATATTTGGTGCATTCGAGCGGCGGCTGGCGGTTTACGGTTTAGGGTTCCAGGGTTGCGGGGTGGCGGCTGGGCGTCTACGGTAGTATCCCCCTTTTGTATCTTTTTGTCCCTGATATTATTTTCGTAGAATATAACCCGAAGCCCCGTTCGAATTAGCAAGGCCCTTACAACCCTAAACCCTAAACCCTTACGAGAGGACTCAAGTTCAGGGTATACGGGTTTAGGGGTTGCGGATATCGGGCTTAGCATCCGATGACGACTTTTGTGCCGAGCTTGACGTTGAAGGCTTTAGGTGTTGAGGAGCTTCTTTTTGTCTAGGGCTTGGGGTTTAGGGTTTAGGGTTTAGGGTTTAGGGTTTAGGGTTTAGGGTTTAGGGTTTAGGGTTTAGGGTTTAGGGTTTAGGGTTTAGGGTTTAGGGTTTAGGGTTTGTTTAGGAGTCAGGGTTTTCTCATCGGCTTTTGTTCGCGGCCGGAGCTGTGCTAATTCTAGAGCTTCGCATGTTGACTTGGGTTCAGGGCTGAACATTTAGCATTAAGGTGTAAGGTCCTGGGCTCTGCATGACTATGGGGCTGTGGTGCATCTCCAACCCTAAACCCTAAACCCTGAACCTCGAAACCCCACACCCTTAACCCCTAAACCCTAAACCCGAAACTAAACCGTCAGAGACTGTGAGGCTCCATCGATTCCCGATGTGCTGTTTACGGGTGCATTGGGCCTTTGGTGTGTTCACTCGATGTAAACACCAACCTCCAAAAATCGGGTCCTGCAAACGGTCTTACGCAGTCTACGTAGGGGTTTCTATAGTCGGGCGCAAAACACCGAAACCTCGAGGCCCGAAATCCTGAACTGGGGTTTGGGTTCAGGGTTGAGGGTTTTTAGGGTTCTTAGAGGGGTTTGGGATTTAGGGTTTAGGGTTTAGGGTTTTAGGGTTTAGGGGTTCATGGGTTTAGCGGTTTAGGGTTTCGGGTGTAGGGTTCAGGGGTTTCGGGTTTAGGGGTTTAGGGTTTGGGGGTTTAGGGTTTGGGGTTTCGGGGCTTAGGGCTTCGGGGCTTTAGGGTTTAGGGGTTTAGAAATTTCGGGTGGGCGGAGTTGAAGGTTGAGGGTTCAGGGCTCGAAATCCTCTACCCTACATTTGGTTGTTGCACATCTACAATGCCAAACGGTTTAGGGTTTAGGGTTTAGGGTTTAGGGTTTAGGGTTTAGGGTGGTTCCCAGAACTTGTGCACGGTTTAAGGTCTAGGGACAAGGGAACCAGAACTTGTCCCGACTTGACTCGTAAGGCTATAAGACGCACCGCTCGGGCGAAAAACCCTAAACCCAAAACCCCAAACCCTAAAAACCCTAAAAACCCTAAAAACCCTAAAAACCCTAAAAACCCTAAAAACCCTAAAAACCCTAAAAACCCTAAACCCACTTTGCCTTCAGGCCGATCCCGCAGTAAGACAGGGAAAACATCCTGGCCACTGCAGTCACAGGGGGCTTCCTTCTTCGGTTCCTTGAATCATTTAGGGCCTTTAGGGCCTTTAGGGTTAGGGTTTAGGGGTTTTAGGGGTTTAGAGTTTAGGGTTTAGGGGTTTAGGGTTTCGGGTTCAGGGCCTTTAGCGTTTAGGGGTTTAGGGGCTTAGGGGTTTAGGGCCTTTAGCGTTTAGGGTTTAGGCCTCCTTTCAGGATACTACACATACGGCTCCTTCGAGGGTTCCTTCCATCCCTCAAGAGCTCGTTCGGGATTCCTTTTCTGGATGCCCTTGAGGCTACGACAGTAACCGTCTGGAAGCAGGTCATTCTCGTTCCTGGAACGACCAACAAGAAGACCGAGAGTTTAGGGCTTAAGGATTCAAATCTTTAGGGGTTTACGGGTTTAGGGTTTAGGGATTAAGGATTAAGATCTGGGGTTTAGGGTTTGGGGCTTAGGGTTTTGGGTTTAGGGTTTAAGATTTGGGGTTTAGGGTTTAGGGTTTAGGCAGGGCGCGCCGGGTCGCACGCTGCGACACGCCATCAACACAAACCCACAGCTCTCTTTGGAAGGCATTTCTTCGCGAAGGCCAGGTATAAAATACAATATTAAAAAGCCCAAATTAAAACAACAACATTAAACTGCAGCAATGACTGTGAAAACTGATATGCCCCCATAATCATAGCATTCTCGGAAAGAATTACAAGTAGGTTTGGCTTCTTGGGATGATGCCGGCTCCAGGCCACCAGGTGCAACGGCCCCGCAATCCCAAAGCCCGTCATCGCAAGTCCTGCTTACCTGGATCCCAAAAGGACGGCATTTTTATAATGTTTGAGCCATTTTGTTACTTACTTTTGGGGGTCTAGGTAGGGTTTAGGGTTTAGGGCTAGGGTCTATGGGTTTGAAGCCTTGCGTTTAGGTTTTACTGTTTTGGCTGTATTGTTTACGGCTTAGGGTTCAGGAGTCTAGGAGTATGCGTGCACGGAAAACAACCAAACAGCAGCAATGATAGCACACTTACCATACCTATACTATACGACAAGCGGCAGTTGTAGCCAGAAGTCACAAAAACTGCAATAGCAATGCTTTCAATCACAACTATATCTCCGCTTACGGCCTACATAGGAACCATCCGAACCCCCTTTTCAACAAATTACCCTCAACCTAAACCCTAAACCCTCAACCCTAAACCCAAAGCCCTGAACCAAACAATGCCCGAACTACAAGAAGAGGAAGGTTCCCAAACATTGACCAACGTCCTTGGAGAAAAGGTTTAAGGTCCGAGAAAAGGGGGTAGGGTTTAGGGCTTAAGCTTTAGTTAATTTCTATGGGCAAAGGTTATTACCCTTTCATAGAAAAACACATAGTGGACAGTACAGCAGCACCCACTAGTAATGCGGTGCTGGGAATGGTTTGCGAATTTCCCCTCTGCTCACCCTGCCTAGCATACCCCAAAACCCTCTAACCCCTAAACCCTAAGCCCTAAACCCTAAACCCTAAACCCTAAACCCTAAACCCTAAACCCTAAACCCTAAACCCTAAGCCCTAAGCCTAAACCGCAAACGCCAAACACTTAGGACCTAAGCGCTAAGCTCCTTCTCCAGCTCGGCTTTCCGTCGTAGCTGTCGTAGCAGCAGCCCCATAACCAACCATTGGGACCACCCCAGTGGCTGAGATACAATCCTCAGTTTAGGAATTATGAGTGGGGTCAAGAGATTTGGGTCGCTCTCTTTCTTCCCTAGAACCCTAACTGAACCCTAAACCCTAAACCCCCAAAACCCTGAACCCTGAGCACAAAACGGTGTCTAAGATCTTGGGGCTGGTGCCTTGTCTGGGGAAGAGGTGGGGTTCTACACGAGCTCTATGAGGGCTGTAATGTAGGGGCCTTCATAATTAGAATGGGGCGTTGGGGCCCATTATACTATAATCATAATAAGGAACCCCCCAAATATTATTGGTAATTATGAAGGCCCCTATAGTAAAGTTGT